TACCCTCCTTCCTCCCTTCACATGCACATACTCCACGCCCTCTTTCCATGGCTTCCTTGCAATTGCGCACACACACACACACACCCTGCACCCTCTTTCCCTGGCCTCCCTGTGATTGCACGCACGTACCCCATGTCCTCTTTCCACAGCCTCCATGTGATCACACACATGCATGCACATACTCCACGCCCTCTTTCCATGGCCTCCCTGCGCTCGCACACATACACTCTTCACACTCATTCCCCTGCCTTTCTGAGCTTCTGCTGCATCAAGCACCTTGACTCACGTGCGGCCTGCGTCGGGCCTCCCAGGGCCTCCTCCACTCCCCTGCTGCACCCCTGTGCTCTTTACTTGAGACTCCCTCTGCTTCCCGCTTAATGACCCATGTGTCTTGGGTTATAAACAACCCAGATTGCCTGGATTGCCATTGCTAAGCAATGCGGTCACATGATGTCACGCTTTACGACCACAGTTCTTAATGATGGTAATCCTGGTGCCAATTACAGTCATAACTCAAAGATTACCTGTATACTGTATCTGTGTTCGTGTGTTTCTGCAACTGTAGTCACATATTTAAAATAAAAACCTTAGAGTTGAAAGGTCCCCCCTTTTGATCCAGCTTCCTGATCTGGTCTAAGCTCCTGTTCAGTGCAGGATGGCAAGCCGCAGGACCACTGCAGTCTCCCTGCAGCATGGAAGAAAGTGCATAACTTTTAGAGGCAATTGCTTCCACTCTTAAACAGTTGTGACCATTGACATTTCTCCAACATTTATATATCACTTTGGCTAGTTTTCATGGGCATTTCATAGTTGTTAAGGAACAGCTGTTTAAAATATGTACTTTCCTATCTTAAGTATGACTGTAATTTCAAATACGATTCCACAGAAATCAGACTTTGGGTTACACAAACAGCACATCTTTCTTCAGCTTATGCAGTTCTTTCTCACATCAGTGTAGATTCTATCAGATGTTTGCTCCTTTCTGGTTGTAAATGGGCTAAGTTTACATACTTTTCTATAGCTTGCAGATAAGAGTCATAAAACCGGAAAGGGCATTAAGTTCACCTACTATAGTCGTGTATTCAGTACAGCGTTGAAAATCTAGAGCCACAGGTTCCCAAAAGACAAGTGACCCAACATGAAAGAAAGCCCATCCACCTGCCAGATAATTCAGGTTTCCCTTGGTATTCAAAAGAAATCTACCCTCCATATATTGAAATCAATTAGATTTATTCTTTTTCATCATCTAGGTGATAGTCTTTCACATAGTTGAAGAATGCATTAGATATTACTCCAGTCTTTTCTTCTTCATTCACTTTTTCACAGGCCTTGTTTTTCATATCCCTAATCCCGAACCCAAACTGAGCACATTACTTTCAAATGAGGTCTGTCTAATACAATATTAAATTAAATTGTTGCTACCCACATAGTCATATGACTCTTTGCAGCTTACAGTGTCCTCCAGTTCGTTAAAACATCCATCATACAATGTTAATAAAATAGAGGACAGACTTGAAGAAGTACATTTATAGCAAAAGACATGAAAAGCAACTACAAAAATAATAAAATAAAACCAATAAATAAGTAGATGGAAATAATCACAATTCAGATGCTCTTCTAAATAGCCCTATTTAGAGTATTTTGTGAAATGTTGATAAAAAGAGGGATGATCATATTTCAGGGTGTTTGAGATATATAAAGATATATCCTTCATATATCCATTATCAGGGCCAACTCTCACTGGGAGTTTTAATGAGATTACTTGCAAAAATTATTTAAAAATAAGTTATACTCAATTGTAACAGAAGAAAGTCAGTGAAAAACCAATCTATTGGTCTATTTTTTTAAAAAAGGCTCTTGTAACAAAGACTTGATTTTAGAAAATGTTATGCCAGTTACCATAGTACAGAGAGTATGCTATGTCATAGTAATTCCAAGTACGGCTGATCTTTCCATCTCATGGCAGCTGAAAAAGTGGGTCAGGTGCCAGAAAGTGAAGAAGTTGCTGCGATATATCTTGACTTGAATCATACTGGATGTGGTAGACTGTGCAGTCTCTGAGACTTTTGCTACAGACCCCACAACCCCTTGTCACTAGCCATTCTGACATTCCATAAATTAGGTTAATCCAGTTTTAGCTAGAGACAAAGCAAATTTTTAAAACAATTTCTGAAGATTAAAACTTCTATTTAACATCTAATGAGATTTTAACGGATATCCCTATATTTGAGGCCTAACTACAGAAGTCTTTTGTTTGGCCAGTTTTTTTGTTTTTTTTTTAATTTGGCCATTAAGAAGGTTTTGACTAGACTTTCACTTTTCATCCCTTTTTCTGCTTGTTTTTACATCTGGACATTTAATTAATTAACATATAAATGTGGGATGCTTCAATGTTTACTGTAGTTATTTATATTACTGAAGACATATTCCTAGTCATTATTTTATAGTAGATGCTAATGAATGATTGGCATGAAGGGATTTCCTCCTCATTCTTGCTTATGACCACTGATTCACCTCTGCTTCAGGCCAAAGACTTCAGGAAGGAAAAGAAGATAACAGGAAGCCCACTAGTCAGTCCACTGACCAAGCAACTGATAGGCCCTCCTGTCCCCTTCCCTTCCTCAGAGGAGAAGCCCCCACTCTCTTCTGAGCACATGTGGAGGAGAAATAACGCTGGCTGATTTATGCTAGTGACAGAAACCAGGGAAGGGCTAGGATAAAGCCCAGGTCTCCAATACAAACCCTCTTCGGGATTGCGTTGTAGAAAAGAAAACAGAAAGATCCTTCAGGCCTCACCCAAGGCATGCCCATCATCACCTGTATGTCATGGCACAGGCAGAATGGGGCATCAGGCTGACTGCATGGGGGGCGGTTCTGTAAGTGGCGAGATTCACCACTTCTCTATCTCACAACCTTTGTGGGAATAATTTTAGTGCTCCATTGTGGAGCAATACAATCCCTAATCAGCCATAGGAGGCAGAAGTACTAGGTATGTTTGCCGCCTTGAGTTATATATAAAAAGGTGTAATAGTAATAACAACAACAACAATAATAATAAAAACAGTTTTTTCAGTATATGTATAGGCATGCCCATATTTGCTGTATGTCATTTTCCAGCACAACAAGGCAAACATGGCTTGGTAAATCTGATCTACTACATAGTTGGAAATAACATTTTAAACAAGGGAACATCTGGGAAGACTTCTGCCCTAGTTATTTATAGCTTTCTCTAGCTATCACAGAGGCAATCCAATGCTTCATTAGTGATATCTTTCCACATTGATGGTAGTGCTAAAAACCAATAGTTTGGAGATCTCTGTGTGTAATCATCTAGGGAAGAGCATAGTTATAACATGTCCGTAATAACAAAACAAAAGAGAAATTATAACTGATAAGCTTTGAGCTATTTGTTGTTCACAATCTTTAACACCATAACAGTTAGTTTAAGAAAGTTCTAATATATTTTTCCTAGTTAATAGGCTGCATAATTGGACGCCAAGGGACCAAAATTAATGAAATCAGGCAGATGTCTGGAGCACAGATCAAAATCGCCAATGCCACAGAAGGCTCATCAGAGCGTCAGATTACCATCACAGGAACCCCAGCTAACATCAGCCTTGCTCAGTACCTCATCAATGCCAGGTGAGATTTCCTACTACGCCCTCATTCGTATTATTACTAACTCATGTTCATAACTAGTAAAATATGGCCAAGTGGCTATAATACTAATAGCACAATCATTTCCACTGCATCATAGAATTTCCAAGAAGCAAATTTCTTTAGAAACCTATTTCTGGTGAATTGTGAATTGTGATGGAATATATCTATGAAGAGGAGGCCTATGTGGGGGATAGAAGCAGAGATCAAGGCGGGGGCCCATTCCAGGAGGGGAGAGGAGGCACAAGACAACACAGTCCACAGGGGGAGCGTGGGAAGCATAAGAGGTCCAGGATAGCCACTCCCTAGAATCTCCCAGGGTATATCCACTAGTTGCAGGAGTATAGATTTAGACCGCCAAGATTCTGTCTATATGGTGTAAGCAAATAAAGGAACTTAACTGGGCTGTTTCATCATTGTTCTTGGGCTGGGCCTGACATGAATACAATACATGGGAATAGCCTAACTATTTTAGCTGAAAAGAAATCTGTTACTATTTGCAGTAATAATAGACCTTTCTATTGACATCTTATAGATTAATGTAGTGATGTTAAAATCTCCAAACACTGGAAAATAGTCTGGACATAAAAGGACTGGATTGAACACAAATTGTTACTATGTGCTGCTGATATGTGTTACTGATACTTATGAATGCTCTGTAGCAACTTTATTGATATTGTGCAACAATTCAGTAAATTATCAAATTATTCAATTAATTGGAATAAATCAAATACTTCTTGTAGGTCTAATATATGTATGGAAAACAACTTTATTTGTTTTTTAATTCTTTTAGCTAACTTGGGATAATTATTGCAAGACAAATTTCTTTATAGATTAAAGATTTCAAACTGTTTACCTCAGATTCATATTGATATGAATACATAGTTTAAAATCCTAATGAGCCTCTAGAGAAAGATAAACATTAAAGAAATTAGTCCCCTGAGACTAAATGAAGACATTTAATTTTGATTCTTGGTCACCAATTTTCCTTCCCTTCTCTCCTTTTCTTTTCCACAGTTTATAGCCATTATTTTTTTCCTTAATTCATCATTTTTCTGAGCCAGATATGTCAAAGTTTTTTACTTTATCAACAGAATATTTCTTCACAAATAAAAAATCCATTAATATTACAAGTTAAAACAGCTGTTCTTTTTCATAGTAAGTTTATTAGTAACCAGTCTACATAGATAAGAGAAAAATGTGTTAAATATATCTTTTTTTGCTTCCAGTCTTAGCAATTAAGGGAATAGCATAAGCATTTGTGAAGGATTAGTACCATAAATTTAATTTTGAAAACTAAATGTTTTCATATACAAAAGTATAAAATGACTGAAGAAAGATTATAAGTTTTAAGCAATGTTTTCCTTCTCAGGTGTATACTTCTCAGTAGTGTAATTTTTTATTCTATTAGCTCCAGGTTATCTGACTTTTTGTTTCTTAGATACTATAACTATTATAAGTCATTATTTTTTAATAGCATTCTTGCTGTCATATATCAAATAATATGCTTTACCTTATTTGAGTAAGTTCTACTTGGACATTTTTATAAGTTAAAAAAAAATACCTGGTTGCACGTGAGTTTGGCACTGTTTTGTATTGTAGTGCCCTTGATACGAGATTTCCTGGGAACCACACTGGGCTAATATAATGAAATATTTGTACATTTCTCTTCCTTTTTGTCCTTATGCTGGGATGTCAGGGGCAGAAGGAAGATGCTGGGAGGGCAGCGGGCAGCAGGTTCAGGGGGTGTACAGTACGTCACTGGGACAGTGGTGGCGATAATGGTGGTAGCTGAGAGGAGGGAAAGAAGGCAAGCCGCTGAAGATGGGCAGGAAGGCTGGCGGGAGATGTCACGCCAGGAACTCCAGAGGGGAGGAGGAGGAGAGAGAAGAATGTGCCCCAGCCTTACCCAATTTGCCCACCTAGATTTTGTTCCCTCTGAAACACAGAACAACCAAAGTGATCTGGACTTGAGTTCAGATGAAACAGTTTGCTTTGTTTCATTCATGCCTCCGCTGAAAACTATTATCGGCACAATCTGGAAGTTATTATGTGGCTCCTCTGATACCATGGCAGGACCTTTGGTCCTTTCTTAGCCAAGTTCATTCAGTCTTTAAAAGCTACAAGACACATCTGGAACATACTGGGTCAAAAGTATAATTCTTACCCTTACCACATGATAAATTAGGACAATCTCAGTATAAAAGCTCCAGGTATATCATTATCATCTTCTATCTGGAAATTTTGTCCTTATATGCAATTTTAAGATGCTGGATTTAGGCTCTAGCACAGTTTTTAATTTAAAAAAAATCTCCTCCTTGGAATCCATAAGCTAATAGGGCATTAATAGTTTCATCAGCTAATTGCTAGTCAGGTTTTAAGCCATTTAAATTATTGCAACAGGTGTTTCAGCCTATTAATTAAATATACTTTGGAATGGCAGTATATTAAATTATTTTGGTTTCACAACATAGGCTATGTACCATCAGCAGCATCTCAAATCCCTGAATTACTATCAGCATACAATCGTTTTTTGGATAATTCCAAATCTATAGCATATTTATAGACAGTTGAATAGTATTGTTAAGATGGGTATTATCTATTCACAAGAACTTTGGAATAGAGTTGGAATAATTCATATTAACAAATCATGGTTAAGGAACTTAAAGAATATTGAGAATGTTTACTTTAATCTTAAAATAAGATTAATTCAACAAAAATGTTTCATGTTTATTGGACATGATCAAGTTTAAAATGGGTAACTGTCAAAATAATTATGCTGGAAGTGTAAAATGATAGAGGGCACCTTAATTCATATAACATGGACTTGAGCCACCATTCTCCTGTTTTGATTTAATATCCATATGTT